ATGTGTAAATAAGAATTATTTTTTGCTTGTTTAATTGATTTGTAAAAGTTCATTTGTTGTTTATTCAATCTGCATTATGTTGAAGGCAAAAAAGACCTGTTCAAGGTACATTTTCGCAACGCGAAAGTTAAATTCGCGTTGTGATAGTCAAATTCGCAACGTTAAAGTCAAATTCGCAACGCGAAAGTCAAATTCGCGTTGCGATTTTCGATTTGCGATTTCGCGTTTCGAATTTTACTTTCGCAACAATCGCAACGTGATAATCGCGTTGCGAATTTGACTATCGCAATGAAAATTTGACTTTCGCGTTGCGAATTTGACTTTCGCATCAATCGTAACAAAAAATCGCAACGTGAATTTGATAAGTGATAACAACTGAACAGATCATAACAATGTTCAAACTCAAGTTACTAATGAATGTCTAACTAAATATGTATGCATTCACACATAAAATACACATAATACAACGTTTGCATTTAAAAATCACCTAAGTTAATAAGTCCCAAAAGGTGAAGCCGGTTGTGATTGGGATTTTGATTTTGATTGCGATTTTGATTTCCTTTTGCTTGGCACCATATGAGCTTTGGATTTTGATGAGGATCCATATTTTGGTAGAGGAAAAGATGATTGTGATGTTACTGGTGATCCACAGGTCAACCTTGTATGACCACTTTCCTTGCACCGACTACATGTCGATATCCTCTTCTCTTCACCCTTAGACGGTATACGATCGTGATTTTTTGGTCGGCCAGGTAGCCTGCTGCCATGACTGGTGGCAAAACTGTTTGTAAGTCATCTGATATATCCCACTCAGAAGGATGTGGAATATGGTAGACAATCTCGACATAAGTCTGTCGATATACTTCTGTAGTGTAGCAATCCATAGCGTATGCGCTTGAATCATCTTGGTTTAGATAAAGAGCAACTTTTATAACATGGCCACATGGATAACTAGATGTTTTCCATTTCATACAACTACACGTCTTTGCATTTAGATCGACAAACCCATTTAAGTTATTATCCAATACTTCAAACAAAGTGTTTGAACATGATTCAACTCTCCATGACGTTGACTTCACAACACGTTTCATTATCTTTTTTTCAGTCCATGGTGTAACACGACGTTCCAATGTTCCTGTAAATTTAAATAAATAATACTTAGTAAAATATATGATAAGTTACGAATTTAAAGAAATAATACATGCATGGTTTCTTTTCTTGTAGTACCACTGTTGAATAGAGGCTCAAAAAAACTCCATTAACGTAGTAATGGGTAATTTCCGGGAATGACGACTTAGAGCGTTGATTGATTCTGCACTATTAGACGTCATGAAACCATATCTTGCTCCAAGTTGATGTACTCTTGACCATCTTTCAAACCCGACATCTTCTAGTGTTTGAGCACATTGAGGCAAAACACGTCTTAAACAATTTATATGCTTATTAAAATCCACTTCCCGATAAGCTTTTACAACCTTCGAGTATGTCTATTTGTGAATTTTTATACCAACATACATTGATTTTAGATTTTGTACAAATGAACACCACAAAGTCCATGAAAAGTATATGGGAAACACCTTATAACAACGTTGTCAATTGAGTTTGCCCTATCAAATATGATTGTCAGATTGCTAATAGGACCTATGCAATCCCTAAGATGCCCCATAAACCATGTCCATGAATCAGAGGTTTCAGATTTGCCAACCCCGTAAGCTATTGGCAGTATCCCATTGTTAGATTCATGGCTACTGCTAATAAGTTTACTCCAAGGTATCAACCTTTCAAATGTGCTCCGTCAACTATAATAACTGGGCGCATGCAAGTAATAAACGAACGAATCTACAAAATAATATACACAATACATATAATCATTTAAATGTGAAATGCATGTAACTAATAAAAATGAGTCAATAAAATTATATTGATTTACTAACCGCAGCACCAATGGCGATAAAAAGAAAATCAAAGCGTCCATCTCTATCTGTTTTGATATGAGTTACCGACCCATGATTTTTCAACTTTAAATTGTGACAATAAGCCGACAGTTGGGCAAACGATGCTTCTAGAGACCCCCTCAACAATTCCAAGACATAACATTTGGCTCTCCAAGCTTGAGAATATGAGATACTAATCTTGAACCGAGCATTCATGTCAGTCATAATTTCATGTCCCCGATATACTCTGTCATTCAAAAACATTAACTCAGCCAGAAAACCACCCAACACCTTTTTGTTTGCCTGTCTATGGTGAGGAAAAACTTGGGTTCTTGAACATGTATGTTTATCAATAAAAGTCCTAACTTGAAACATTTCACAATCTTTTATCCTTTTTGCAATCATATGCCACATACAGTTTTTGTCAATCATACACTTTGTTTCGAAACGATCTTTGCTTGATTTGTTAACTTTTAGTTGATATCCATCTTCCACACATTTCGTATACAAAGCTATCTTCAAGTCTTCCTTTGTATCAAAACAATAATCTTTCTTGATACGAATAACTTTTGTGTAACAATCAACTGCTATCTTTACCAACTATTCTTCTGGTATCTAAAGTAATTCTGGCATATTACAGTTATACTCCCATGGTATTTTCTTCTTTTTCTTTTCTTTGGGGACTTCTTCTTCTTCTTATTCTTCTTCAAGGTTATATGAATTACAGAATGGATGTTCAACATGTTCATTCACAGTCGTAACTTCCTCCTCATTATCATCAACAACATCTTCCTTGACAGCGGCTGTTTCATCATCAAAATTCGGGTATTGACCAATATCAAAATCATTACACGCAGGGTCTGTTTCTTCTTCTAAAACATCATCAAAATCCGAGTATTGACCAAGATCAAAGTCCGGGTATTGACCAAGATCAAATTTTGAATACTGACTAGTACTCACAATTTTTTCTGTTGGCTCATAATCGTCTAACTAGTCAATACGAAAACTGGAATTTGGTGCTGAAAGTTGATTGAGATTTGGATTAGGAAAAGGTTGTGGGTTTTGAGATTGTGTTTGGTATTGAAAATGTGGTGAAACAAAATTTTCTTGGTGATGAAATTGTGGTGGAACCATTAAATTTTGAGGTTGATACAACGTTGTACATTGTGAGCACCATAAACTGGGGTTAAAGATCTTAGTTGATTACTACCCGCTACTGACCCAACTTCACTACTTCTAGGTTCAACAACATACAATGTAACATCATCTTTTTGCGAAACACTAATGTAATCAATGAATCGTTCAACATCTTCATTGTCGGTTAACAAATAAACTTTACCTTTTCTCTGATAAGATAGCCTAAATCCACTTAGAGACTCTAAATTCAACTTCTTTGCAACACATAACATTAGAGTTTCATAAGTTAACTTTTTTAATGACATTTTTAGTTGAAGATTCATGGGTAAATGCACATATTGTAAAACACCATGAACATTCTCCCATGACCCTCCAAAACACAAATCTATCCAAACATGATCAACATTAGATGATTTCATTCTACAAATTGTAAATTAATTTACTAAACAAACGAGCTATAAACTACATATCATCACTAACTTAGAGAAAAACATACCTTTATTAAGTTGATAGTTGATAATTTGGGAGAGAAATCATTGAAAAATTATATAGAAATAAAATTATGTAAAAAAAATTAGAGATGGGGAAGGATGTCATTGGATATAGGAACGAATGTCGCCGGAGAGAGTGATAGATGAAGATGGAATGAGTTACGATTTAGGGATTTAGGTTATGAGTTGATGCTGCTGCGTACTTATATACCCAAAAGATTTGTGTTACGAAACTAAAACTTGTTGCGAAATTAAATTCGTGTTGCGAATTCGAAATCGAGTTGCGAATTTGAAATTCAGTTGCGAATTTGAAATTCAGTGTTGCGAATTTGGCAAACGCATTGCAAATTTGACTTCTTTATTGCGATTTTCTAAATTCGTGTTGTGATTTTGGAACCTGTGTTGCGAAATTGGAGTTCGCGTTGCGAATTTGTTGGTCATTTTTGCAAATCCAAAAAAAGTTGGTTAAAATCGTATATTATAAGGCATTTTCGGTCACTGAGGTTATTTTCTCTTTTAATAATAAGTAAAATACTTTTCCCCCCTTAAATTAACAAAATAGTTTAATCTTTATTTCTCTTTCTCTCATTAAATTTGTATTTTATTAATATTTTTTTTTTAATTTTGACTAATTAGTGTGGTTCGGGTGACCATTTTCCTATGATTTTGTTGTATGGAAGATGCAGAAACATATGAATTATCTTATCTTCTTTCTTAATATTTGGATGTTCTCCTTAGTTGACTGACTTAGTAGAATGACAAATGCCCTATGTAATCATGATTTTTAAACTTATAAACTACCTACAAACAGTTATGTTTCATGCGGCAGTTCAATTTTCAGTTATTTTATGTCGACTTGGATGTAATCAAGGACTTGGAGAAAAGGCATTGTCTTTTCTTATTGTCTGGAACTGGAACATGACAATCTGTTCTCACTAATATTTTCTTTGTTTTTAATGATATAATATTTGTTCAGAATTTTTCTTAAGCTAATAATAACACCAAACTAATAATTTCTACACCTATGAAGTTGTATGCTTTTGAGACAATGGAGATATTATATACTATGACTTGAAACAAAACACATCAATACATTATCCATAACTCTTTTTACAATTCTTGAGCTTGAACCAAATCTGAAAAGCAACTCCAGATCTAGGACTCAAATTCATAGCTAACGCCAGTGCTAAAAATATGAAAATTAGCAAGCCCCTGCCATGCTGCCAAAAATACATTCTCAGTATCAACATGGCAGTTCAAACTTCGAATACAACCATCTTCCTTCCACCGTTTCATTTCGTCGCTCGTCTGCATGCTCACTGGAACCCGGGATACTCCAGCTCAAAGTACATAATTCATGTAATATATCAACTAATGGAGATGAAGCAGAAGCAGCAGCAGCTCCCTTCAAATTCAAATTATAGATGATCCATACTACTCTTCCATGGTCTAAAGGGCATACATCCTCTTATATTCATTATTCAGGATCTCAGAATCCGAAGCCATAGACATAGAGAAAGAACGGGAGCGACTCTCAGCTTTCCTTATGCTCCTTAGCTTCGACTCCTCCATTCTATGTAAAATGACAAAATAGCACATTGAGCCGATTGTAGCAAGCATGATAGTGCTGCCGATTACAGTTGCACACACTGCAAGCCATCTAGACTTTTTCCCCACCACCACGTAAGTCAGCGAAATGAATGCAACAGAAATGAAGAGGCACGCCAACCACATGAGCTTGTTGATTACAAAGACAAGTTGCTTCTTTGCCTTTTGTTCAATCACCACCACCGATGTCTGAACAACCACCACCGCCAAGGAGATGAACAAAGCAAGGCTATCAAAGACGAAGAAAACAATAAATGGTGCCTTGTCAGCAATATGTGCTTGCCCAAGCGAGACCCCGTCTTTTTTATTCTCAACATACTGTCCAGGGACAGTGAAGATGGCTGCAAAAGCAACGGTAGCAATAAGAACAGCAACAATGGTAGCAGAGTTTATAGCGTTGTTTAGGCCGCTAATGTGGAGTTTCTTTAGTCTCTTTGCAATTTTTTGCACTCTGAAACCAGTCTGTCGTGTTTGTTGGAGCTGGGACTGGACATCATGTTTTATGTCGCTTACAGTTTGCTTTAGTTGTTTTGCTGGGTTTGGGGGCTTTCCATGGTCCTTAGAATTGGCTGCTCCTGCTTCCTTTAAGATCGAGACAAGTTCTGGGGTTCCACCTTTTTCTGCAATGTCAAGTGGGGTTTCTCCGGCCTTGTTTGCTGAGTTGATGTTTATGCCCTCAACCGATAGCAAACATCGTACAATCTGCACAACAGGAAAAGATTTGTAATCAATCAGATAAGGTTTAGTTATGGAAATCCAACAAAATCAATCAAGATATATATCCCCGTTAATCGAAACCTGAACTAAATTTTTTGTTGTACATCAGGCAAATTGATTGTAGGACTAAGAAACCAAACAGTTGATTCCATTTAACCATAAGAGTTATACATTGATCATTTTGAAAATTATTTAATGAATGAGAGAGCACCTGAGTACGGCCTTTCGTTATTGCAATATGCAATGCAGTATTTCCTTTATTGTCTTCCACGAGCAAAACTGAGGGGTCAGGTTTCAGCAATTCCAGCACTATCTCCTCATTTTGACCTTTCACTGCCATATGCAGTGCAATTTGACCCTTTTTGTCAATCCTAAAACCGGTACTTGGGTCCTTGCTGAGCAAAGATTTCACTACCTCTAAGTGCCCAATTCTTGCCGCTGAATGGAGGACAGTTTTACCATTGTTTCTTGCAATTTTAGCAAGGTCTGAGTCTGTTTCTAGAAGAAGATTGACCACCTCAATATGCCCTTGAGCAGCTGCTGTGTGTAGGGCAGTCGTACAAGATAAATCTGTAGTCATGACTGAGTTGGGGAAGGTACCCAAAAGTTCCTTCAGCACTTCTGCAAGAAAGTTTTGATCAAAACAATTTCAGAAACAGAAAGCGTAAATAATAATAGTTAAGATTACTTATAGAAAGAGACGGTGAGAAATTTAATAACATCAAACAACTTTTGTAGAAGAGAATGCCATTGAACATGATGAAGCAAGGCCTCCTAAAGTGAAGAGATAAACATGTTCCTTACCAAATTGCTAAATTCAAAGCCAAGTCATCAACAAGATAAAGTTAACTTCCCCATCAATAGAATTTAAGGATTATAAGATGCGTGAAAGAAAATCTTATTCGGAGTCAAATTGATAAGAAAGCAAAAAATCTAGCAAAATCGGCTTCAGACATTATCAACAAGTAAACTTTACAAGAGAAATAAAAACTAACGCTCGAAACAAACTAAAAGAAACATGAGACCACATTTATACAAAACACGCATACACATACCATTTGCTCATGTTTGAAAGGTAGTGAAATGTGAATGAAATAAGTATATTTCAGGTATCCTACTCTCCCAAGCAAATTACGCAAGTAACTTTGCGTAATTTGCATTTGTGTGAAGATTTTGGGAGTTATATTGCAAATACTTATGGCTGCATTCTTAAAATGTTACTTCTAAATGAATGAGGAATTTGCAAAATAAAACATGAAATTAATGAATTCTTACCAACATGACCTTGCTTAGCTGCAACATGGAACGGATCATAGCCATTCCGTGCGGTGATAGATGCAGTCTCGAGATCGATATGTTTCAACATCTCTGCAACAACCACAGCTTGACCATTCTCTGCTGCAACATAAAGGGGAGTTTCCCCTTCTAGGTTTTTCTTGGCCAAAAATTCCTTGGCCTCAGGACCATTAAGGTTGATAAGAATCTCCCTAACTCTAGACAAATTCCCTGTTCTTGCTGCCAAATGAAGAGGTGAATCACCTCTTTTTCCTGGAGACTCCCGATTCTTCCTGCGTTCACCGGCACCAATAAAGCTCAGCTGCCTCTCCATTACCACACGAAAGCTCTTCTGCCTCTCCATAAAGCCCCGAAAACTCTTCTGTTTTTCCATCATCCTGCTACCGCCGGGCTGTTTCTCACTCGAAACACCACGAAAACTCTGTTGCTTTTCAGGTTGTTTAAAACTTTGTTGCTTGTCCAGCATTCCTTGAGCAGGCGGTGATTTTTCTGTTGTTACGCCGCGAAAACTCTGCTGTTTTTCCATGATCAAAACCCGAATCTCAATGAATTACCAGCTATTACCAACAAAGAGTATGCTGCTTGGCAAAAGACGAATTATTTGCTTTTCTCCATCATCAGAAGCGAATCTGAAGCTCTTGTTTTAGGCATATTTCTTCGAATTCATAATCCGAAAAAAGTACCACCATCCCTTTTTATGATCGACAAGAATCTAATTGCCCAGAATTCCCCCCTTTCCTACAGTTGGATGAAAGCAGTTTTCAGTCACAACGCTAAGCAGCCCAAAAACAAAGAATCTCGTGGTAAAGATCGTTGATTCTCTAAGCGGAAAGTTTATTCCATAGGCTAAACTAGGAAGAACATAGGAGCAGTGCGGTTCAGATGATAAATGAAAGATTATTCCATAAAAATAAAAATAAAAATAACAGAAAAAGCTTGGATTTGGAGCTGAAAAGTGTGAAAGATTGATACAAGAAAATGGACTCTGAAAGTTGAATTCCTGAGAAAACGGATTCACTAGAGAAGAGAAGAATAGCCGATGGAACTTTGTATTATTGTACCAAACCAGAGCCACGAGAAATAGACAAGAAAAAAGTCTATGAAACAAAACAAATATCAGCAACCACTAACTCCACTACGTTATTTTTCTTGTTTTTGTTATGCTAAGCTTCATTTAATCGTTCAATTTTAGGTTTTTATTTATCAACTTTATCATTTATCATTGAAGTTTACTGGAATTTAATACCCTTAAACATAAAATATGTGATCAAAGTATACTGCTTTTTATGAATAGATATTTAAAGTATTTTCTGAATCGTCCTATAAACAGTATTTTAAGTGTTTAGATCGTAACAACCGTTAATTTTACGGTTAAAAAACACGTGTCGAGCTCTGATAATTTTAAATTTTTTATTTAAAGTTAAAAACTTAAAAAATATAATTTTATTTTAGAAAAACTCAAAACTTTTGATAATCTTAAAAAACCTCAAATTTTGGAAAACTTTATCCCAATCCATATACCTACGTCAGTCACTTCTGTTTGTTGTTATTATCGTTGACGAACTTCTAGCCAATCGAACCGTCGCTGATAACTGAGCCACCCGAAGTCACCCTAATCAAAGATTTAAACCTGATGACGCTGAAACCCAAAATCACGAAATTGAAACACTTGACGACTCCTATGACAACTACGACGGCTGACAATGGCAACAATAGGACTGCATCGACGACGACGACTATAGCCGGCAATGGAGGTTAGGGTTAGGATTAAGGTTAGGGTTAGTGATTTGATATTTTTAGGGATTTGAGTTTTTTTGTAATTTTTTAAAAATAGAGTTTTTTTTATATAAATATAATCATTTTTATTTTTTTTAAATTATCATAACGTGACATGTGTCACTTAACATGAATTTTTAACGATCATTATGTCTCGGGCACCTAAAATGGTAATATTTGTAATGTGAGACACCTGGATGATTCAAACAATACTTTAGGCACATATTCGTGAAAAGCGGTATAGTTTGGATATTTATTTTATATTTAAGCCAATTTAATATATACACTGAATTTTAATTTTAGAGTATTAGAGTTAGAGACGAATGTATTATTTTATGTTAGGCAAGCAACTAAAATTTACGAGGAGACAACTTATAAAATATCTCAAATATATAATAATTTAAAAATTTTAGGAGGCGATTGCCTCCACCCACCCTCCTTCGGTTAATCTCTAATTAGACTATTATATTATTAATAAAATAATAAGGTAATGATCTTTTTTCTTCTTTCGGTAAAGATTTTTAATTTTTACCGTCGATCAATCGCTATTCATCACCACTCATCATTCACGACAAGATTAGTTTTATCAAAATATTCTTCGTTTTACTTCTTTTTCTTCTTAACAAATTATTTTTTTATAAAACTCGTTCAAAATCGATGAATATTCATCTAAAACTCAACATTCTTATTCTTTGATGTCTTCCAACGATAATCTAACGTGATGTTCATCTTCTTGAAAGAATGCTTCTTATCATTTGATTTAAAAAAAACTCCAATAGAAAACCCCTAAACCTCTAAAAATAATAAACATGTAATTAGTTTTGTGAGTTTTGAGAATATTTTTTTGAAAAAAAAAATGATATACTAGGAACGTGTGTATTCAATGTCAAATAATTGATAGTTATCTTGAATAAATACTGTCTTACATTTATCTCAAAATATTTAAGTTTTTGTTTGTTGTGTTTTTTTTTTGGAGGCTTCCACCATCTTATTTAATTCAAATCCAATACAGTGTAATACAAGATAATAGAAGGGTACAACTCAACCAACATAATCACTTCACCACTGGACAATTAGGAATATCGTTTCGGGAATGTTTCTTCTAACAAGTTTTTTCAACACAAAAATATCATTTTTTTTATTTCTTGATTTGAGTTAATAATCACGCTTCAAATGAATTTTTTTTATTAAAAATGAATTGTTCGAAAATGGTTTTACGTTTCAAATGAAATTTTAGACCGAAAACACTTCTATAAACATTCCCAATCAACCTTTACTCCTCCATCGTGTAAAAAGATCTTCAGTTTATTTATTTCAAATCAAATTATATAGTAGGATGTATAAGTGAAATTTAATTACAAATGACGAGGAAGAATAAATAAATAAATAAAAAAGGACTCAATGTGCAAGCACCAAAAATGGGTAGCAATCAGACATGTGCCAATTAGATTTAGCCGCCGGTATTGTCTGGTCATATGAATACAGCGCATTATTAATTTGTATTATAAAGTAACCAAAAAGGTGAGATAATAATGATGGGTACCCCTATATATATATATATATATTACATAGCCGTAAAAGATAAACAAACCCCCAATAATGGAGCCATGTATAAGTGCTTACCATGCCCATTTTTAATGTTTATGGATTCTTTCTATGTGCTCTTGATTTCGTACCCTTAATCCTTCCTAGTTATAATTATGCCTTTAAACTCGTCAAGTGGTCTAATTATTAGGAAAAAAACATTATCTTAATAAATATCGTTACATGCTAAATAAGTACAACTAGATAATTTTATTAGAATAACATATATTTAGTAATTGGCACAAAAATGTATTAATAAAAATAATATCCATTTTAAACAATCAGATAGAAGTATATTTAAAGCCAGTTTGGTATAATTTTTTAAAATTGACCTTTAGAAGTGCCGTAAAAATGAATTTTTAAAAGTGTGGTATAAAAGTGTAATTTTAAAAAATTAATTGCTTGTGATTGTTGTTAAAATTTAAAAAGTGAGTTTGAAAAAATAAAATATCAATTATAGGCATTATATTGTAAATTAAAAATATAACATCTAAATTATATTTACACTTATATATGAATCATATTAATTCAAACTATAATAAATTTTAAAAAATATTATTATATATGAATTATATCAATTTAAACTATAAAAAACACAAATAAAAACATAATTATTATTATTTATGTCGATAGGGTTTTTGAAAAGATTTTTAATGAAAAGATGAGAGTCATCACCAATCATTTTTAAGGTACGATTGAAACACCTAAAATCGGATAATTTTAATAAAACATTTTTATTTTATCAAAAATGCCAAATTTTGGTCTGCGAAAATCAGAAATCGAGTTCAAGAGTCAGTTATGTGTGGCGAAGATTAACACCCCTACAACGCCCAAAAATTAGTACACATTCGATTACCTTATATTTTAAAAATAAAAAATTTTGAGTTCAATATTTTATTTAATTAAAAATATAACATCTAAATTATATTTACACTTATATATGAATCATATTAATTCAAACTATAATAAATTCAAAAAAATATTATTATATATGAATTATATCAATTTAAACTATAAAAAACAAAAAATACAAATAAAAACATAATAATTATTATATATGACGATAGGGTTTTTGAAAAGATTTTTAATAATAAGATGAGAGTCATCACCAATCATTTTACGGTGCGATTGGAACACCTAAAATCGAGTAATTTTAATAAAATATTTTTATTTTATAAAAAATGCCAAATTTTGGTCTGCGAAAATCAGAAATCGAGTTCGAGAGTCAGTTATGTGTGGGGAAGGATTAACACCCCCATAGTGCCAAAAAATTAGTACCTAGTCGATTACCCTATATCTTAAAAATAAAAAAATTTGGTTCAATATTTTATTTTATTTAATTTAAAATCCATCATGTATGCAAATTTTGAAGATGATGTTGATTTACCAAGACCAATAATGACCACCCTCAGGCATTTATACGAAAGCCTCGTTATTGATTCCAATAAACAAACATTGTCTCGAAGATTAAAAAATCATGATGTAGGGTTTTGAAAAGGATGTTGATTTACTTTGGGAATCAATAGTGGTCACCCCCGAGCATTTATGCGGAAGATACACTATTAACTCCTTGGTAAATTAACATTGCCTTATTTTTAAAATCCAAATGCAATCAAACAATTCATTATTGATCCTAATTATGCTAAGTGGGTTAATTAAGGCTTCCCTCTAACTTAAAGTGTCAAATTATATAATTTAAAAACCTAGAGGACTAGACCTAGAAATGCAAGCTCTAATTTTAACCATATTTGATTTTAACCAATCATTGAATCAGACAGTCAAAATGGACCATTGGGCATTAAGGCGAGAGCCAAATCGAATATTCCCTAAATTAAAGGACTAAAGTGACAATAAGCCTAAAATGGATGCTCTAATATTAATCATAATTGATTTTAATCTATTATTGAATCGAATAGTCGAAATGGACCCTCGAGCATTAAGACAAGGGTCAAATAGAATATTTCCTAATTTTAAACAAGTTTGAGGACTAAATCTAAATAAATCTAAATTTAAGGACTGGATCTAAAAAGAATGTACTAATTAAGGACTACACTAAGAGAAATCTAAACTTAATAGTATCAAAATTAGGACTAAAATGAAATGAATAAAATCAAATTCAAATTAAGCTAACATATCATGATTGTGACCAAATTAAAACAAGAGAAAATAGTAGGTCAAAAGTAAAAAAGAAATAAAGGCATAAGGACATAGTGACTAAAATATAAAAATGCTAAGCTAAAAGGATATAAACATAATTTTCCTTTTTAAAGCTTTATAACTAACAACCAGGAACAAAAAGAAAAATACACATTTAGTACCTTAATTCGAAACCAAATAACAAATAAAAACCAATCATATGACCGATTTGTAAAATCAAGGTAAAACTCTAAGGACTAAAAGTTAAAATTACATTTTTAGTTCTACACTAACAAATTTAAGAAATAAAAGAGAATAATAACCAAATTGATGCTTCGATTTGAGATAAAATATCACAAAAAAAATCTAGAAATTAGTGACCTAAATGTAAAAACACGTGTAAGTTTGGATAATCTAAAGAAAATTTCTCTTCTTTAAAGCTAACACAAAAATAGGAAAATCCCATAATCAGGATTTACATATTTAAATTAATTCATAAAATTAAATAAATGGTGAATGTTTTGCAAAAACACGCTAAATG